TGTGTCCAGTAGTGGGCAGTGTACTAACACTTTTCAGTCCACTTCTGTCCTGTAGGAATGCACTGCAGACTGATTTAGAGACTCTTATTCATTCAAAATGAACAGCTGGAGACACTAACACCAGTCAAACAACAATTATGCACAATGAAAACAATCTCTATTTAAAGTCAATATGAATTGATTACTATTTATTATTATATGCATTTATTACTTAAAGCAACCATTTGTGGCCTTAATACCCATATATAAATCTGATATATGGCAATATACAAAGCACTGTTTTTGGTTCAGATTAGAATTTCGTGTATATAAAACATGTCATATATTTCAAAATATGTAAAAAATGTGCATTTACACACACACACACACACACACACACACACACACACACACACACACACACACACACACATATATATATATATATATATATATATATATATTATATATTTGACTAAACTTTTTCTCTTTTAGGTAAGTTATCCAATTTGTTTCTGTTATAATTAATAGCAGAATAAAGCCAGTGATATTTTTTGAGAAATTGTTATAGCTTTTCTTTAAAGTCAAGTGTCAGTTTTACATACAATAGGATTATTCTGCCTCTGAAAAAGCTAAGATGATGGTGTCAAGGTTTTGGAAGTTTCTGAGTTAATTGGAGGCACAACTGTAGAATAGTATTAAAGGAAAACCTCAAACACACTGCTTCCTTGTGTGACAACATGGGAAAATCAACAAGCCAGAATCAACAACAAAAGCCAGATTACAGTTTGCTAAATTACACTGGGAAAAAGACTAATTTTTGGAGACATGTCCTGTGCTCTGATGGAGCTAAGATTGAACTGTTTGGCCATAATGACCATTGCTACATTTGGAGGACAAAGGGGAAAGCGCACAAGCCTGGGAACACCATCCCAACTGTGAAGTATGGGCGCGGCAGCATCATGTTGTGGGGCTGTTTTGCTGCAGGAGGGACTGGTCCACTTCACAGCATAGATGGCATCATGAAGAAAGAAGATTATGTAGAAATACTGAAACAACATCTCAAGACATCAGCCAGGAAATTAAAACTTGGCCACAAATGGGTCATCCAAACAGACCATGACCCTAAGCATACTGCCAAATGAGTTAAAATGTGCTGTAAGGACAACAGAGTGAAAGTTTTGAAGTGGCCATCACAAAGCCCTGATCTCAATCCTATGGAAAATTTTTGGGTTGAAAAAGCTTACAAATCTGACTCAGTTACACCAATTCTGTCAGGAGGAATGAGCCAAAATTCCTTCAAACTATTGTGTGAAGCTTGTGGAAGGAGACCCAAAACATTTGACCAAAGTTATACAGTTTAAAAGCAAAGCTAAAAAATACCAAGGAAATGTGTGTAAACTTTTGACTGTCTAGAAATTAATACAAAATTCTGTCATTATTCTGGCATTTAGCAAATGTAAATCATTTAGGAAATCCTAACGGATCTAAAATAGTAAACGTTAAGTATGATTTAAGATCAGACACTTAAAAAAATGGTTATGTTCCTTTTTCAGTGTATGTATATGTGTGTGTGTGTAAATGCACATTTTTGAAATATATATATATATACACACACACACACACACACACACACACACACACACACACACACACACACACACACACACACACACACACACACACAGTTGGGGTTGAATTATTAGCCCCACTGTATATGTTTTCCCATTTTCTGTTAAATGAAAAGAACATTTCTAAACAGAATATTGTTAAATGCAGAGCTTCTCTATAAAAATGTGAAAAAAAACTCCTGCAAGATGTACAATAGATCAAACCTCAGCCAGATAAAGAAAAGTAACACAAAAGTAACTCAAAAGTACTGTAAAATGGAAACTAAAATGTAATGTAACTAAAAGTAAAATGTAACTAAGTAATGCAATCAGTTACCTGTTTTTGAGGAGTAACTCAAAATTGTAATGCACTACTTTTAAAAGTAACTTTCCACAACACTGTATATTATTATACACAACAGACTCTGTATTGAATAACACTATTCTGAACCTTTTCAATATATTTTATGCTTTCCAGAAACATATCAAGCGGCATAGGTGGATTTAATAAGGATGAGGCAATAATAAGGAATTCTTATTGAGCAGCAAATCAGCATATTAAAGTGATTTCTGAAGTAGTATGTGACACTGAAAACTGAAGTAATAATGCTGATAATTCTCATTTGCATTACAGAAATCGGATAATCATATAAAAGGAGCTTTGGTGAGCATGTCTTTCAGAAAACCAATGAAAGCAGCCTTGCTTTAATTTCACAGTTTTGTAATATCTTGCTGTGGGAAGGTTTCCTCAGAAGAAACATCATGTTTAATGATGGAGAACATTTTCAAACAAGCTTCAGAGATAACCAAGTCAACAGATGCAATTTTTATGCGTTGCCCAACTACACATTGAGGATTGGATGTTTTATCAGCGGCACACAAATCTATACCACCTAAAACCTACTGGATGAAAGAATCTTATTAGACAGGGATGTTGAGGCAACAGTAAAATCAGACGTGCCCTGGTGCATTCCCTTTTCAGCCTTCAATCCATTTTTCACTATCTAATCCTATATACAGTTGAAGTCATTTTTTTAGATTTCCCAAAGGATGTTTAAAAGAGCAAGGACATTTTCACAGTATTTCCTATAATATTCTTTCTTCTGGGGAAGGACTTATTTGTTTTATTTCAGCTAGAATGAAAGCATTTAAAAAAAAAAAAACAATGTCATGGCCAATATTATTTCTTTTTTGGATTGTCTTCAGAACAAACCATTGTTATACAGTGACTTGCCTGATTACCAAAACTTTAACCTTATTACCCTTATTAGGCCTTTAACATGTTAGCAGCACCAACGTATGGGCATTTACAACTACCCAACTTAAAATAGTAATCGTTCTTGACCCACTGCAAACAAATAAAGGTATCATTGGAAAGAAGACACTTTGAGCTTTACTATGTTTATCTAGAAAAAGTATAAAAAATAATACATTTTAAAGTAATGAGAAGGAAATATTTTATTGTGCTCAATATTTGTTTTTTCAAATACAAACATGCCTTGAAAGCCAAGTGTCTCATGGGTTAAAATTTCAAATTTGACGAAGATAGCATGCAAAATTAAATTATATTTCTGACCAGGCTCAGCCCTGCTTAAGGCTGATTTATACTTCTGCGTCAAACGCCGGCGTATGCTACGGCGCTTATGCATAGCCCTTCGCCGTGACCGTGGGCGTCGCTGGCGTGCACCTCTCAAAAATTGTAACTACACGTCGAAACGATGCGTAGCGCAAGCTCTGTGATTTGTCGGCTTGGTAGCGCTGACAAGTCTGGGCAGGACCGAGAACCGCGCGACTGGTGCAAGCCTGATGGAGCGATTGTTTACAAGTGTGGAGTCCCGCGAAGGAGCTCCTGATGGAAAGTTTTGTTTTGTGTTTACCTCAGTGGGGCAGTAGGTAGTGCTGTCGCCTCACAGCAAGAAGGTCGCTGGGTCTCTGGTTCGAACCTCGGCTCAGTTGGCGTTTCTGTGTGGAGTTTGCATGTTCTCCCTGCCTTCGCTGGGGTTTCCTCCGGGTGCTCCGGTTTCCCCCACAATCCAAAGACATGCAGTACAGGTGAATTGGGTAGGGTAAATTGTCCGTAGTGTATGAGTGTGTGTGTGAATGTGTGTGTGGATGTTTCCCAGAGATGGGTATCCGCTGCGTAAAAACTTGCTGGATAAGTTGGCGGTTCAGTCCGCTGTGGTGACCCCGCATTAATAAAGGGACTAAGCCGACAAGAAAATGATTTAATAAATGAATACACATACACACATAAATACATACACCTAAAATCAATTTCCAAACGAAAAATCCATTAAGCCAAGTCTGTATTTAGGGTTAAGTAAGGGTAAAATTAAGCCAGTTGAAAATAAATAAATAGAAGAATGGTAATAGACAAATAGAAAAAGGTATTCAAAACCGTGCTGAAAGAGGTCTACAACAATGAAGAAAAGTTAAAAGAAGCCAAACAGGGAACCTTAAATTACTATAAAAAGGGAAAAAAAGATAGAATGATGGAAAAATTATATAATTAAAAACAAAAATAATAGTAATAAAAAATAAATAAATAATAAAATGGGACCTGGAACCAGAAGGTTCTGCTTTTTGATGACTCATTGATCCTAATTAGTAAACCTTTAGGTTTATGGTTATATATGTTTAAGTAATGTAAAAAAAAAATTGCACCTCACAGAACACTTAATCATTCATTCAATCATTTTCTTGTCGGCTTAGTCCTTTTATTAATCCTGGGTCGCCACAGCAGTATTAACCGGCAACTAATCCAGCAAGCGTTTACGCAGTGGATGCCCTTCCAGCCACAACCATCTCTGGGAAACATCTACAAACACTTATTCACACACACACTCATACACTACATACAATTTAGCCAACCCAATTCACCTGTACCGCATGTCTTTGGACTGTGGGGAAAACCGGAGCACCCAGAGGAAACCCACACGAACACAGGGAGAACATGCAAACTCCACACAGAAACGCCAACTGAGCCGAGGATCGAACCAGTGACCTTCTTGCTGTGAAGCAGCAGCACTACCTACTGCGCCACTGCTACGCCCAGTTTATTATTTCATAAACAAATATATGAAATTAGTCCTGGAGCAATGAAGATAAGTAATCAGTCAAAAGCCACACATCTCCTGAAAATATGTTTTAAATTTGGTGGCGAAATTACGCTAAATGACATTTCTGAAAAACATTTTCTGAGACAATATCTTGTGCTCGTCTCTGTCTCCTTGTTAAGTGTCACTTTAAGCTGAATGCTAGTATCTTGATAAATATCTAGTCAAATATTGTGTGCTGTCATCATGGCAAAGATAAAAGAAATCAGTTAACAATTTCATTTATCAAATTCATAACTAATAATTCAGGAGGACTAATAATTCTGACTTCACCTGTATGTTTTTTCCCATCCAGGAGTCAACATGACTTGAACACTCAGAAGAGTCTCTCTGACTCCTGTAGGGATGAGCAGGCGTTTCTGCAGCGGCATTACCCGTCATTAGCTTCTCGCTGCGGCTCCCGCTATCTGGCTCGCACCCTGAGCCGCCTGCTCATGCATCACATCAGAGACTGCCTGCCGGAGCTCAAGACCCGTGTCACGGTGCTCACGGCCCAGTATCAGTCCAGACTCAACAGCTACGGGCAGCCGGTGGAGGACCACAGCGCCACCTTGCTGCAGATCGTCACCAAGTTCGCCACCGACTACTGCAGCACAATCGAAGGCACGGCCAGACACATCCAGACCTCTGAACTGTGAGTAGCAGAACTCTTTATTAATGTTCGTATCCAAGCTCTCATTTCAACATAGGCTGAGTATGGTTGCATTTCGTCTTTAAGATGAACGCTACGGGCGGGATGACGGAATTACTTTACGTGCTACCAGCTGACTGCTTACCTTCGTATGGACGGCTTTACCGCTGTTGTTAGTTTGTCCAGTTAGCTCACCATGTCGGTGCACTTTAGATGCAAAGAGGAGTTGACCATGACGACGGGGTTCGAGTCTAGTAAAGAACGGTTCCAGAAAGTGCGTTAGCCAAAAATGAAACAAACAGGTAAAAAACAGGGTGAGAATGTGGTAAAATCTGAAAATGTGGTAAAAATCAGGTGAGAGCTTTTCACAACCCAGGCTCATTGTGTAAACGTAGCCCCATGGACTTTTCTGGAGACTGCGAAAAACGTCCCAGGAGGTACTTATTTGTGCAGTTTTTGTTTTCGCGAATTCGCGGGAGGCCGCTGTGCGCGCTTTTTGTTCGCGTCTTGAACGCCTCTCTGGAGCGCGCTGTTCTCGTGTGATGAGCCGCCGGAGGCCGCTGTTGAGCGACCATCCGACTGACTGAATGACCGAACGATTGACTGGGCGGGTGACCCAGCCACCCCCCGATTTGCGGCGATTTGCAAAAGATGTGCGAAAAAGAAAAGCAAAAGCCCTCGTCCGATTTTGACCGCGCTTTCAGATCTCGCTCCGTCGCGAACTCATTCGCTTTTATTTTTTCATCTTACCTCATTTTTGGAATCGCTTTTCCCCGGACTCCAATCCGGTCGTCGCCGCGGTCGGCTCCGTCGACGTAACACTACGAGCTAAGCTAACAACCTGTTTGCGGCAGGAAACCCCTCCACACCGTCAGCCGGCGAGCGCGATGAAGAGGAGCGGCGTCACACCGCTCGAGAGAAAAAAAATTAAATGCGGCCATGCGTATCTCCGGCCATGTAAATCGCGGTCTCCAGAAATGTCTGCTGGGCTACGTTTCCAGAATGAGCCTGGGTTGGCTTTTCATTTTCTGGATTGCTTTTCAAAACTGTCGTTTGGGTTTAGCGAAGTGGGTGATTGGGTCAATCGGAATAAAAATATTAGCAAACACCCTAATTGTACATTTTGGCAATACACTAATGATGGATATTAACAGAGAATGCTATAATTAGACATAATACAATTTGCTAGTATATAATTGGACATCGAATTTGGCCATAAAAAAAAATCTGTAGCCACAAATATGATTTTGAATGAGTGAATGTGTTTTTCAGACCCGTTTACCTAAAGCTGTCACTGCTGACACTCTGGACTCTGCTTGAGTGCCTGGAACAAACAAAAGTAATGACTGCCACAAAGAGTGTGAAAGAAATTGACTGTAAAGCTTTTGCTGTTAAAATGGAAATGTGTTTTTATCAAAAGTCTACACGATCTACAAGACCGAGACCATAATCTGGTGTTCAGAATCTTATTTATAAATGGAAGCCCTAAAAAAGCAAGATGAATTTATTTATCACAGATTTATTTGTAGACTCACAGCATTTGCGTTTTCGGTTCTGCATGTAACAAAAAAACAACACCAATATGTGTCCATTTTTCTTCACGTTTGTCCCATGTCATACTTTGTGAAATAGTTTTGCATGGAGTATCATGTTCATCCATTGGGGCTAAATTATTCTTTTTTACAGTAGTTGTAAGGAGTCAAGTGGAAAACATTGAAAATTCCTTTTGAAGAGGCTTATTTTGTTTGCTTCTTGCAGTGTTTGTGTATGTGTGCGTGTGTTGCCTCACACAACAGACACAATAACAGAGAAACAAAGTTTTAAAGTTGACATGAAGTCAATATCTAAATACATGCATGATTTTGAACCATTTATGAATTGTATCATATTTATTCAAACCACTGCCTGCCATGAAGACACGAGACCTGAACTGATAGCCTTCCCCTAAAGGATTGATAGTACTGCCCTTAAGAACTGTTAGTCCCTCTCTAAATTACTTATATTACTCGAAATACTCGTCCTAAATGACTGGTAGTCCTGTCCTAATAGATTGATGGTCCCACCCTAAAGAACTGATAACCCCGCTTTAAAGAACTGATAGTCCCACCCTAAAGAACTGTTAATCCTGCCCTAAATGACTGATTACTCATCCTTAAATGACTAATAGTCTCATCCTAAATGACTTATAGTTCCACCCTAATGGAGGGATAGTCCCACCCTAAAGAACTGATTGTTCCACCCTAAAGAACTGTTAGACCCATCCTAAAGGACTGATAGCCTCAACCTAAATGACTGATAGTCCCAACCTAATGGAGTGATAGCCCCACCCTAAAAACTGTTAATCCCACTCTAAATTACTGTTAGCCCCTTCCTAAATGACTTATAGTCCCATCCTAATGGAGTGATAGTCCCATCCTAAAGAACTGATTGTTCCACCCTAACGAACTGTTAGACCCACCCTAAAAGACTGATAGCCTCATCCTAAATGACTGATAGTCCCAACCTAATGGAGCCCCAGCCTAAAGAACTGATAGTCCCGCCCTAATTAACTGTTTTCCCACCCTAAAGAACTGTTAATCCCGCCCTAAAGGCTTGATAGTCCCACCCTAAAGGACTGATAGCCTCATCCTAAATGACTCATAGGCCCGCCCATATGGAGTGACGGCCCCACCCACAAGAACGGATAGCCCCGCCCTAAAGAACTGTTAGTCCCACCCTAAAGAACTGTTAATCCCGCCCTAAAGGACTAATAGCCCCACCCTAAAGAAATGATAGCCTCGTCCTAAATGACTAATAGTCCTGCCCTAATCGAGTGATAGCCCCACCCCAAAGAACTGTTAACTCCGCTCTAAATAACTGTTAGTCCTGTCCTAAAGAACTGTTAGTCCCACTGTAAAGACATGTTAATCCCACCTAAAAGGGCTAATAGCCTCTTCCTAAATGACTGATAGTCCTGCCCTAAAGAACTGTTAGTCCCACCCTAAAGAACTGTTAATTCCGCCCTGAAGGACTGATAGCCCCACCCTGAAGGAATGATAGTCTCGTCCTAAATGACTGATAGTCCCGCTCTAATGGAGTGACCCTGAAGAACTGATAGCCCCAGCCTATATAACTGTTAGTCCTGCCCTAAAGAACTGTTATTCCCACCCTAAAGAACTGATAGCCCTGTTCTAATATACTGGTAGCCCTGCCTTAAATGGCTGATAATCCCGCCCTAAAATTATGGTAGCCCCACCCCACTGATAGCTCCACCCTAAATAACTGTTAGTCCTGCCTGAAAGGGCTGACAGTCCCACCCTAAAAGACTGATAACTCCACCATGAAGGACATATAGCCCCACCCTATTTTATCAATAGCCCCACCCTAAATGCTTTCCATGTGACCAGAAGTGAAGAATGTTTATTTTGATGGTGAATGATGGTTCTGATATTTGATTAAAGATTATGAGGGCAAATTAATTTTTACAACATAATGAAGTGCAACGATACATCATTTATAACAAGCGCTACAACCATATATGAAAATAAGACCGTTTAGATTCCTTTTAACAACAAAGATGGTGGTGACCTTAGACATTTGCACAGTACAGTACATCACAACACAGAAGAAGAGAGCTGTCTCTACTTTCATTTCATGGTCACTTAAGATCTTGAAATGTGTATTTTTAGGATATCCCTGAGAAAAAAAATATCAAGAAGAATCTGTACTTTGAACCCTCCAACATCCACAAAAGGGTTTCTTACAGCTCCTGCAATTGGGTTGATTTTTAGATTTAGGATTTATTTTTATGTAGGGCTGGGAAATTTGGCCTAAAATCGAAATCTCTATTAATTTAACATTTTAACTCTATTACAGTTTATTTGTGTCATTTAGTTCTATTTTTTTAAATACTCCCGTTTTTATTTTTAATTCAGTTAACGACAATTATTTTACATTTTAGTTTTCGTTACCTATAATAACCTTGGCTTTATCGGGCTCGCCACTCTCCTGAGGCTCTCAGCCTCGCTCATGCTCATCACCACCACAACCACCAAACCAACCAATGACAGAGCTTGCACTACACGTCGTGACAAAGTTATGTGACCGTGCAAAAGCTGCAATGGATTGTACGATGCAGAAGTATAAATCAGCTTTAACAGAGCTGGGTTACTTGCCTCCGCAAGCAATAAGGAAAAAAAACGAAAAAATTGACCTGGTAAAATTAGATCAACTATCGGTACTGAACTTTGATTACTTTTCAATTAATCACCCAGCCCTATTTTTAACAAATAATTGCTTATCAGGGTTAGGTTTATGGTTAAAAAGCAGCTACTACAGTAAATTTTCAGATACAGTTGAAGTCAGAATTATTAGCCCTCTTTTGATTTTTATTTCTTTTCTATTTTAAATATTTCCCAAATGATGTTTAACAGAGCAAGGAAATTTTCACAGTATGTCTGATAATATTTTTTCTTCTGGAAAAAGTCTTATTGTTTTATTTCGGCTAGATTAAAAGCAGTTTTTACTTTTTTAAAAACCATTTTTGGGACAAAATTATTAGCCCCTTTAAGCAAAAATTTTTTTTTTCGATAGTCTACAGAACAAACCATCATTATACAATAACTTACCAAATTACCCTAACCTGCCTAGTTAACCTTATTAACCTAGTTAAGCCTTTAAATGTCACTTTAAGCTGTATAGAAGTGTCTTAAAGAATATCAAGTAAAATATTATTTACTGTCATCATGACAAAGATAAAATAAATCAGTTATTTACATTTACATTTAGTCATTTAGCAGACGCTTTTATCCAAAGCGACTTACAAATGAGGACAAGGAAGCAATTTACACAACTATAAGAGCAACAATGAATAAGTGCTATAGGCAAGTTTCAGGTCTGTAAAGTCTAAGAAGGAAAGTATTAGTAATTATTATTATTTTTTAAATTATTATTATTATTATTATTAGAAATAGGTTTTTAAAACTATTATGTTTAAAAATGTGCTGAAACAATCTTTCCTCCAGAAATTGGGTGAAAAAAATAAACAGGAAAGCTAATAATTCAGGGGGGCTAATAATTCTGACATCAACTGTATGTAAGTTTTTTGGATCCCAAAAATCATCATAGACTCAGCCAGAATAAGTCATAACTGTGATTTGTGCAGCCACTTTCCAAAGGTTGCCATCTTGCACCGTGCAATTGAGTTTGACATATTCTCATTACCAAGGCCACATTCCTACTAAACCTCTTTTTTTCTCTCTCTTCTCTCTCTGCGACTCCGGCAGCGTCTCAGTCTGTCATTTTCGCACCGAAGCTCATGACAGATATCAAGCACACCATGTTTACTTTGTCTGCTTGGCTGCATTTTGACGGGCAGATAATCCGCAAGTCTGCCCGGCTCTTATTTACACCGTGTTCACTGTGGGATGAAATGGCGTTCATCTCTCATATCTGGCTAAGTCCACACCGGCTATCGATTAATTAAGTGGCTCGTATTGACGCTTTCTGGCTGGACAGTTGGGCTGGAATCCAGGCCTGTGTGAATGTGCCAACAGAAGATTGTTAATTTGTGCAGGATGGACTGACTGTGAGCGCTTGTCTCTCGTTAGGTGCGGAGGAGCTCGCATGTGTTACATTTTCCACGAGACGTTTGGAAGAACCCTGCAGTCCATTGACCCACTTGGAGGACTCACTGAGCTCGATATTCTCACAGCTATTCGAAATGCTACGGTATAATGTTTACATGGTTTTGCATGCGTGTGTGTGTGAACAGATAAGTACTTTCTGAATACGTTTGCTCACTTTCTTAAATGTAAAGCACAGTTGACGTCATAATTATTCGCCCCCCTCCTCATGTGAAATGTTGATTGCAAGACACTGCAAGTCCTAATACAGCTCTTATATTAGTAATAAACAGATAATAAGATAGTAGTAATGTAAAACGCTGGATATACAGATTAAAAATGTATTCAGCACCACCCTAAAGAGAAAAAATCATTGCTTTATATACTTTAAATGGTCACAATTTACATACAACTATAGTTTCATTAACATACATGGCCACACTTTATTTTAACGTGTAATTCATGCTATTAACGACCCTTTAAATAAGACATTTAGCTCAATAAACTACTAATTAGTTGCTTTTAAATAGTAAGGTAGTAGTTGGATTTAGGTATTAATAAGAATTAGGGATGTAGAATAAAATCATACTTTATAAGTGCTAATACAGTTCTTATCTTAGTAATAAACAGGTAATAAGATAGTAGTAATGTAAAATGCTGGATATACAGATTAAAAATGCATTCAGCACCTCCCCTAAGAGAAAATCATTGCTTTATATACTATAAATGCTCACACTTTACATACAACTATATTTTCATAAAGATAAATAGCCACACTTTAATTCAATGTACAATTCACGTTATTAACAAACATTACCTAAAACATTTAGTTCAATAAAATACTAATTAGCTGATGGATTTAGGTATTGGTTAGGATTAGGGATGTAGAATGAAATCATACTTTATAAGTCCTAATACAGTTCTTATCTTAGTAATAAACAGGTAATAAGATAGTAGTAATGTAAAATGCTGGATATACTGATTTAAAATACATTCAACGCCACCCTTAAGAGAAAATCATTGCTTTATATACTATAAATGCTCACACTTTACATACAACTATATTTTCATCAACATAAATGGTCACACTTTATTTTAATGTATAATTCACGCTATTAACAAACCATTATTTAAGTCATTTAGTTTAATGAACTACCAATTAGCTGCTTTTTATTCATCAATAAGGTAGTGTTTGGATTTAGGGATTGGTTAGGATTAGGGATGTAGAATGAAATCATACTTTAAAAGTGCTAATACAGTTTTTATCCTAGTAATAAACAGGTAATAAGCTAGTTGTAATGTAAAATGCTGGATATACAGATTAAGACTGCACTAAGCACCACCCTAAAGAGAAAATCATTGTTTTTTGGTCACACTTTACACACAACTATGTTTTCAATAAGATAAATGTCCACACTTTAATTCAATGTACAATTCACGTTATTAACAAACCATTACCTAAAACATTTAGTTCAATAAACTACTAATTAGCTGCTTTTTAATCTTCGTAATGCAGTAGTTGCATTTATTTATTGGTTAGGATTAGGGATGTAGAATAAAATCATACTTTATTAGTGCTAATACAGTTCTTATTTGAGTAATAAACAGGTAATAAGCTGGTAGTAATGTAAAATGCTGGATATACAGATTAAAAATGCATTCAGCACCTCCCCTAAGTGAAAATCATTGCTTTATATACTATAAATGCTCACACTTTACATACAACAATATTTTCATTAACATAAATGGTCACACTTTATTTTAATGTATAATTCACGCTATTAACAAACCATTATTTAAGACATTTAGTTCAATGAACTACCAATTAGCTGCTTTTTTATCATCAGTAAGGTAGTAGTTGGATTTAGGGATTGGTTAGGATTAGTGATGTAGAATGAAATCATACTTTATAAGTGCTAATACAGTTTTTATCCTAGTAATAAACAGGTAATAAGCTAGTAGTAATGTAAAATGCTATATATACAGATTAAAAATGCATTCAGCACCACCCTAAAGAGAAAATCATTACTTTATATACCATAAATGCTCACACTTCACATACAACTATATTTTCATTAACATAAATGGTCACACTTTATTTTAATGTATAATTTACGCTATTAGCAAACCATTATTTAAGACATTTAGTTCAATGAACTACTAATTAGCTGCTTTTTAATCATCGGTAAGGTAGTGTTTGGATTTACGGATTGGTTAGGATTAGTGATGTAGAATGAAATCATACTTTATAAGTGCTAATACAGTTTTTATCCTAGTAATAAACAGGTAATAAGCTGGTAGTAATGTAAAATGCTGGATATACAGATTAAAACTGCACTAATCACCACCCTAAAGGGAAAATCATTGCTTTATAGACTGTAAAAACGCTCACACTTTACATACAACTATATTTTCTTCAACATAAATGGTCAATACAGTAGTCGACATTTGAAGTGGATCACCACCTTTCATCAAAGTTGTCAAACATTTTTAATTCACTTTGAATGTTGATTGCTGTATATTAACTAATACAGTCGTATTGTAAAGTGTGGTTTAAATGATGTACCAGAAGGCTACATTACAGTTGAACTGTCTGTGGTTGTTGTGATGGATGTATAGGGTCCTCGGCCGGCGCTGTTCGTTCCAGAGGTCAGTTTTGAGCTGCTGGTGAAGAAGCAGATCAAGAGACTGGAGGAGCCCAGTTTGCGATGCGTGGAGCTCGTACATGAAGAGCTTCAGAGGATCATCCAGCACTGCTCGTCCTACAGCACACAGGTAAGCCAACACCTATTGATATCTAACGCAGAGATTTCTTTTTCAAATATTTCCCAAATGATGTTTGATTTTGCAAGGAATTTTTCACATTATTTTCTACAATATGTTTTCTTCTGGAGAAAGTCTCATTTGTTTTAATTCGGCTAGAATAAATGCTAAATTTCTTTACACCTTTTAACCGCATTTGTAGTTCTAATCAAATTAAATTTTCAATGTGCAATGCATTGTGGGCAATATTAGCGATTAAAGTATGGACGCTTTTACGCTTAAAATTTTTTACAGAAATAGTAAACCATTCAGGAACCTTTGGCGTACTCTTTTTAACATACTACGATTTGGGACATACTAATTCTATTTTTGAATACTATTTAGGATGGATAGTATGCGAATTGGGATGCAGCACATGTCTTGCTAATCGAACACACCTGATTCAGATCATCAGCTCATTAGCAGAGACTGAAAGAGCTGTAATGGGTGTGACAGACAAAGGAGACATCCAAAACATGCAGTGCTGGTGGTCCTCCAGGAACATGGTTGAGAAACACTGCTCTATATTACATCTCAGAACTTGTACAAATTGAAAGCTTTTCACAGGCACAACAGATCGACACACACGCACCGAGAAGCTCCTGCATTAGGATTCTCTCCTCATTCGGCTCTTATCTTCTGTCCTCCCGCCTTCACTGTGTACATTTGTTTTACATTGAGCATTTTTCACAGCCCTCTATTATATACATACATTTGTTGCCAGAATTGAGGAGAAAGCAGTGCACAGATTTCATTCTTATCATATTTTGGCAGTGTTTTGGGAGGAATGTGCGTTCGCTCTTTTATTGTGAATTTGTAAAAAAGATGTGTTATATAATTTGACAGCCTACATGCGGTGTGTTTGCATGTCTGTTTATGTCTGAAGGAGCTGTTGAGGTTTCCCAAACTGCACGATTCAATAGTGGAGGTGGTCACCGGCTTACTCAGGAAACGCCTGCCTATTACTAATGAGATGGTAGGAACACAAGCTGCACCTACAGTCACACAACACAACACATGCACGCACACACACACACACACACACACACACACACACACACATATAGGTTATATGGAAGGTTATAAGTTCGGCAGATTTTTCGCAGATTTCCTCAGATTTGTAGCCCATCATTAATTCTGTTTATTTACTTGAGCAAATGTGTGTAAATCTAGATTTATTCAGTTTTTAAATTAATTACAGTAATATTATTGACTAATATGAAAATGTTCATCTGATTTATGTTCTGTACAGTTTGTACAGTAATATTTTCTGTCTTTTAGTAGATATATTATATGAGAGACTTGCTTTGTTTACCAAACAAAGTGAATCTAATAGGATTTACATTTTAAAGATTAAACAAAAGTTAAAAAGATCTAATTTTTTATTTTGCATATTAAGGTTTTAGTTATGATGCCAAAATAATTCCACAGAAATCCGCATATTTTTAGCAAAATTCTCCGCAGAAATAGCAAAAAACATCCACAAAGTCTGTCTGGCCCTAGTTGTAAGTTAAATGGTAGTATTTATAATGGAAGTCATTGGGGCAAGTCATTGTCTCCAACATAATGAAAGGGTGGTCAATTTGAACAATATGCAAGGGTTAAACAGTTCACAAGCAAAATAAAAGCAAATAAAGTCTTTTATCACACACAATGTATATGTCATATGCAACCCAAGCTCATTCTAAAAACCGCGATTTACAAGGTATGTTTTTTTCGAGCGAACGCTACCGGGCGGTGTGACATCGCTCCTCTTCTTCGCTCCTCGCCGGCTGTGACGGCTCACCTCCGTGTGGAGGGCTTTCCTGCCGCAACCAGTTTGTCCGCTTAGCTCTTAGTGTTACGTCGGCGAGGCCCGGAGGAGGAGGAGCCGGCCGCGGTGATAACCGGGTTTGAGTCCGGAGAAGAGCGGTTCCAGAAAACAGGTAAGATGAAAAACAGAATCCAAAAAATATTGTCGGGGCGAGAAAAATAGTGTTGGGGCGAGAATGCGTCGAAATCCGTAATCGCGGTCAAAATTGGACGAGGGCTTTTCTTTCTTTATTTATTTTTTTTCTGGACGGCTTTTGTAAATCGTCGCTTGGGTTTAGGGAAGGAGGAGGAGGAGGATGGCTGGGTCGGCCGATTGGCCGATTGGCCGGCCACCCAGTCGATCGTTCAGTCATTCAGTCCATCAGTCGAACAGACGGTCGCTCGACAGCGGCTTCCGACGGCTTTTCGCGCAAGAACAGCGCGGGCGCGAACGGCGCGCGCTTCCAAGAGGCGTCCGAGATGGGAAAAATATTTGGTTTAACACCTTTACTGGGTAATTTATTTAATAACTCAACCAGTTGTGTTAAAAATTTCAACAGTCAGCTGATTTAACTGAGACAACAGCTGTATTAATAAGCGTACTTAATGTTGTTTTGTGTTATAACCTTTATTTAAGCTTAAGCTCAAGTTTATTTATTTATTTTTTTTAGAAAATTACCTCTCCGTGTCCTGTTTTTTCTATCCATTTCACCCGCACTCTTAATTATTGATAATACAAATGTGCTTCGAAGCCGATCTATATTAAACGGATAAAAATGCAATGTCTGCAATTTAAAATATAGGGGAAATAAAGCATTTTAATTATTTTTTAAACTGTATTTTATTTATTTACACATCCATAATTATAAAATGAATAGTAGTACTAGTAATAATAGCAATAGTACTACCAGAATGAAAAAAAAAAAACATTTAATAAAAATAACCCAATGCATTGATTTAAATTTTACAACCCAATGCATTGGGTTAAAATAACCCATAGTTGAAAAGGTGCTATAATAACCAATAGTTGGGTTGTATGTTTGGGTATTTTTAACCCAATTATTTTTATTTTAATAAGTAGGCTCATTCTTAAAACGTATCCCAATATTGATTTCTGGTGATCACGAATTATGTAGCTAGAAGTACGTATGGCTGCATTTCGTCTTTAAAACGAATGCTGTGGATGGTATGACGCCGTTTCTTTTCGTGCTACCAGCTGACCGCTTACCTCCGTATGGTCAGCTGTTACCAGTTTGTCCAGTTAGCTCGTATGTACATCGATGGACTTGAGACGCAAAGAGGAGTCAAGGGTTTCGAGTCCGTCAAAGAACGGTTCCAGGATGCAGGTAAGACAAAAACAGAAGCCAAAAAATAAAATAAACAAGTAAATAACAGGGTGAGAATGTGGTAAAATCTGAAAATGTGGATTCACGAAAACAAAAACTGCAGAAAAAAAAAACGTACCTCCTGGGAAATGTTTGGCGCTCTCCAGAAATGTATATAGGGCTACGTTTTCAGAACGAGCCTGGGTTGGTTTTAGCTAATTCTGAAGACATCTTATGGTTTTAACTTACGGATTGTGTTTGCTTCTTCTCAGGTTCATAATCTGGTTGCGATCGAGTTGGCCTATATAAACACCAAACATCCAGACTTCACTGACGCTGCCCAAGTGTCTGCATCCGTCAACAGCCAGCAGGTACACTCCGTCTCTCTTTCTCTCTTCAAACAGGATTAGTCTTTGTTTTATCTCTCTCTCTCTCTCTCTCTCTCTCTCTCTCACTCACTCTCTCTTTCTCTCTTTCTCTCCCGCAGGCGGAGGCCGGGGATGGAGGGAAGCGCTGGAAGAATGAGAAGATGCCGTCTGAGGAGAAAGGCCCAATGCCTGGATTTGGAAGCCCCAGCAAAGCCATCAACCTGTTGGACACGGTACAGTTTAGGCTCACGACTCCAGAAGACAACATTTGAGGAATAGCATGAAAGAGAAATTCCTGTGTTGTGGATGTGACATTTGCAGTAAAAACTAAATGCGTAGATTGACAATATTAATATTGATTGACAGGCGCGCGTCACCATATCCTTAGTTGTTTCACGTCCGCCATTTTCAGCGTGTGAGTCAAAGCAATGTCAATAAAGGAACACCCTTGCTCTATTTTTAGATGTAAGGCTCATTGGGCTCAACACAAGATCAACATTCACCACATGATCGCTCTCATTAGAATTATTGTTTGTAACTTTAGGTAGGTTTGCAAACATGTGTACTTTTCATTGCGTCTACCTTAAACTTCGTCTGTTTGTATTTCTCATGGTCACAGAAGCTCCCTGTGATCTTAATTAGGTGTAGCTGGAAAGTGCGAGCGCGTTGCCTCACGTGAGTGTCGCTCCATTGGAAATAAAATAACGAACTTGCCTGCAGGTTGCAAACCACAAGCGCCGCTCAGCCACGCAGCGTTATGCATTTTAGAATTCTAAACATAGGTTTCTATCAGGGCACACACAATGGCGTTTTTAAGTCAAGGCTGTCCGCGACTTTGGTAAATCAAATATGATTGGTTTAAACATTGACAAAGACATTTTTGAGTATTTTTACACTACTGTAGAATACATGACTATACAAACAACTTAATAAGGGTTTTGTTATTTCAGTAATTACTTTAATACATTTTTAAATGGCAAGGTTTACATTTGCATGCAATTGCTCGAAAGACAAATTCTCAAGTTGTGCTCATGTTTCTGCAGGCCGTGCCAGTATCGCGCAAACTGAGCTCTCGAGAGCAGCGGGACTGTGAGGTGATCCAGAGACTCATCAAATGCTACTTTCTGATCGTGCGCAAGAGCATTCAGGACAGGTCAGCTTTATTGTGCATATTTGTCAAGCACATCAAAGTGCGATTTTAGTCTTTAGTGCTGAAAATTTGTGAAATTTACACCTACTTTAAAACTTTATATTACAGTGGGCGAAATAAGTTGTGAACACGTCGTGTTTTTTCCTGGTAATAACATTTCTAAAGGAGCTGTTAACATGGAATTGAAGCAGATTTTGGTAAAAACCCAAATGATGCAAACATAAAAATAAAACAAAACAAAACAAAACAAAAAAATCTGAAAAATGATTTCTGTGTAATAACAATGGAATGACAGAAGAAGAAAGTGCTGAACTACTGAATTGTATTTAATACTTTATATAAAGGCTCTTTTGGTGATGGCAGCTCAAAGACGCCTCTCATATGGAGAATGAAGTCACATGCATTTCTCAGTTGTGAGTTTTTCACAGACTTCAACAGAGTGTCAAAATCTTGATGGTTCTGTGGGTCTCATCTATCAAATCAGAGCTTTATTTTGTATACTCTATTGGATTCAGATCAGGTGATTGACTGGGCCATTCTACAGCCTAATTTTCTTTCTCTGAAAGCATTTGAGAGTTTCCCCGGCTGTGTTTTGGATCATTGTCTTGCTGATATGTCCACCCTGCTTTCATCTTCATCCTCCTGCTGATGTAGATGTCGGACTGAAGCAGCTGATTTTCATTTACACTGAGGAAGGGCAGAGGGTTGCTGAAGAGATTTCAGCTGCTGTCTGGGCTTTCACTGCCTTTCTACTCCTTCCTTTCTTCATGTGTTCAGTACCTTTTCTCTGTGTCATTTCATTGTATTACACATAACTTTATTTGTAACAACTAAATAAATCCATATATGCAAAGAAAACTAAAATCTTTGGATATATGGATTTATTTAGTTGTTACCCACGTCTGGTGGATATAAGTCAACAGCCCCTTTAGAAATGTGATTTCTAAGAAAAATGGTTGTTCAATATTTATTTACCCCACTGTATTTCAAAGAGGGTATGATCATTTTCTATAGGCACTTTAATATCGCCTATTTACATGTTTACCAGAAGACAAAATAAATCAATTGCAATATTTTTTATGATGTATTACCCTTCAAAAACAACAAAAAATAAAAAATAAAACTGTTTAGTCGTACACTTCTCTAAATAATTGATAATGAACCTTTTAGTGGAGCTTTGAAGCAAGATTTCATTTTTTTATTAGTGATTTTTTTATTCTTTTTTTATATGTTTTTTTTTATTCTGCTTCCTGTAGTGTGCCAAAGACAGTGATGCATTTCCTGGTGAATTTCGTGAAGGAGCATCTGCAGAGTGAGCTGGTGGGTCAGCTTTACAAACAGCCTCTGCTGCAGGAGTTGCTCATCGAGTCTCAGGAAACAGCACAGCAGCGCACTGAGGTCGCACACATGCTGGAGGTACGTCAAAATGGGCAGTATTATCAGGGGAAATCGAATTGGCACAAAACAAAACCTTTTTTTTTTTTTTTTTTGATTTAGAAATTGAAAGTTTTCTGTCACTTGACCTGTGCAGAGGCTGCCAGGCAAAAAAAAAAATGAGCCGTAATGGCAGCTACACTGAAATCTTCATAGAAACGCAGCACAAACTGCTCAAATTTCCACATTGTTCCATTTCCATATTTTGGTTATTACAACTTTAAAATGAGAAGTGTAAATTCACATAATTATATTTAGTTTTTTTTTTAATTCAGTTACTTTTAATTAGTTTTTAGAGGCAGATTTACTAGTTTTTATATTTCCAAATTGCTTAGTTTTAGTTTAGTTTTTATTAGTTTCAGTTTTTTGTTTGTTTGTAATTTATAAATTGGAATATTTATTAGGTGCAAGATTCAAAATCATCTGAATAAATTTTGTTAAATAAATACTCAACCAAAGATACGTTTTGAAACGTATTCAGAGGATTCATGATGACCACTATCGTCTACCACTACCACCTGCCCATTCTCAAATTTAAATACAACAGCCCACAAGATAACAGCCTTGAGTACAATATCTGTGCAAGGCTGCTTCTGAGCTTAGATACACAGTAGTGATGGGAAGTTTGGATCTTCAACGTGAACTGGATCTTTTATGACTGTTATCTTAAGTTTGGACTCAATATATCATAAATAAATAGTCAGCAATCATAATTTCAGTCGGTTAAACCATCACCATGATCTGAATAGTTTCTTACAATTAGGTTTTGCAGCCCAACTGAAGCCTGATTCACTTATTTAAATTCCATTACGACTTTCTGTTATGAAATAAACTTACATTTCGCCACATCCTCTCGTTTAAGCCCCCGGTTTACCTGCGATGCAGAAGTTTAGTTCAGTCACAGCAGGCTGTCATGTACTGTTTGTGTTCGGTTCACTGAATCTCATGTGCAGTATGATTGGTTCACCGCTTCTCAAATCTGATCTCAGTGTACTGTTCTAATAACTGAATAACTCAGGAAATTGGTTTAATTCGATTTAAAGGGGGGTATCAGGCATGTTAAAAAGTAAATTGTTTGTGGATACGTGCTAACTGGAGACGTGAATCGTTTCAAATGATTCAGTTCGATTTGGTGAAATAGTTAAACTGGTTCACTTAAAAGATCCAGTTAAAAAAGAACGATTAGTTCACGATGTATGATCACTACTACAGAAATAAAACCCATTACTGGACACAAATGTGTTATTAAGTCTTTTAAGTCTCTGCTCGGGTCGTATTTAATGTTGTCACTGTGCTTCTGTCATGTCCAGCCGTTGTTTTTGTCATGAGAGCAACAGCGAGCATGACTGGAGGAGGACCGGCTTACATATGGGTCAAACACCTGGCGTGTGCGTAAAACTGGCAGTGGAAAGCAAGAGATTTACCTCTGAAAGGCTTATGTAATAAATACATTTACATAGAGGAAAACGAAGGGCGTTATGCTTATAATTTTAGTTCGTTTCTATTTGTTTTATGTATACACAATACAGTTTCAGTGTGTTCTAGTTTTTTTTAACTTGTTTTTATTTTATTTCAGTTAGTGAAAGTGTTTTTCTTTCTGTTTTAGTTTCCGTTCATTTTCCTTAATATCACCTTAATAACCTTGCTACTAAGTTTTGACAATCTGCAGTTTTGAAGCTGAATGTTTATTAAAAAACACCAAGGGTTTGTGCTGTACACCGAACACATTATCATCCTCAAAAACAGCATTACAGAACAGAACATCAGACAGTGACGCAACATTAGCTAGAGTGCAGCAGAACGAACATTAAAACCAGTGAGGGCGTCTCATTTTTAAAAGTCTGACTACTATTAAGTAGACACATCAGCATCTTAAAATGCCAAAGACTGCCGTGTGAGTGTGCCTGGCTGTAGAAACGGTGATTTATATGAGCTGAATTTCAAGACAACTTTTACAAGAGTACAAACAGCATAGCAAGCACAGCAGACTGTCGGCCTGTGAACTGAAGCATACCGAATATATGAAAACACAAGTGCTAGAAATGCATTCAAAATCTGCGTTCGGTTGCTCTGTTCTGCGAAACTTCATCTAATACAAAATTCATAGCTTCATCACATATGATATCGTTTTATATCTTATCTCATTACTCAGTAAACACTGTGCAAACAATGCATATTTTGCATTACCATGTTTTGAAAACATTTGATAACCTCATTTTAACATTTTAAAGATTAAAAAGAGCTAAATTGTTCAGTATGATTAAGAACACACATGAAAAATATGATCATGAAAACACACGTACAATGTTAAACATTTTTGCACACAAGTAGTTAGTGAGGCAATAAGTAGTCAATAAAACATTGACAAACCTTATATTTAAAGCATATGTGGGTTCCTGTAAATCAGTGAATTATTTACTAGAGATTCACTTTGACTGGATCATTTATGTCAGTGAATCTGGTTATTGTCTCTGACAAGATCTTTCGAATCAGTGAGTCATTAAGTGAGACTCGTGTTGAACGGATAGTTCAAATCAGTGAATTGTTAACCGAATACTCACTGTTACCAGATCATTTAAATCTGTGAATTGTTTACTTAACTGAAGACTCGCTCTGACAAGATCATTCAAATCTATGTGTGATAATGTGCAGATAATTTGAATCAGTGAATAGTTTAGAGAAGAGTATATCTGACTGCATCCTTCGAATCAGCAAATCGCTAAATGGAAACTCACTGACTGAATCATTTGAATCAGTGAATTCTTAACTGGAAACTCACTCTGACCGAATCATTTGAATCAGTGAGTCATTAAGTGCAGACACGTGCAGAGCGAATCATTTGAACCAGTGAATTGTTAACCAAAGACTCACTCTGAACAACTCAGTTGAGTTAATGAGTCATTAGATTTAGACTCGCTCTGAATAGGTGAATTGTTAACCAAAGACTCACTCTGATCGGATCATTTGAATCAATGAGTCATTAAGTATAGACTCGATCTGACCAAATCCGTTGAATTAGAATAGTTAACCAAAGAATCACTCTGATTGGGCCATTGGAATCAATGAGTCAGTAAGTACAGACTCGATCTGACCAAATCCGTTGAATTAGAATAGTTAACCAAAGAATCACTCTGATTGGGCCATTGGAATCAATGAGTCAGTAAGTACAGACTCGCTCTGACCATATCAATTGAATTAGAATAGTTAACCAAAGACTCACTCTGACCAGATAATTTGAATCAATGAAAAAATAAGTGCAGACTCGCTCTGAGCGAATCATTTGAACCAGTGAATTGTTAACCAAAGAATCACTCTAACCGGATCATTTGAATCAATGAGTCAGTAAGTACAGACTCGCTCTGACCAAATCAATTGAATTAGAATAGTTAACCAAAGAATCACTCTAAACGGATCATTTGAATCAATGAGTCTTTAAGTACAGACTCACTCTGATGAAATCAATTGAATTAAAATAGTTAACCAAAGACTCACTCTAACAGGATCATTTGAATCAATGAGGAATTAAGTGCAGACTTACTCTGACCAAATCATTTGAGTCAGTGAGTCATTAAGTGCAGACTCGCTTTGACTGAATCATTTGAACCAGTGAATTGTTAACCAAAGACTCACTCTGACCAGATCATTTGAATCAGTGAGTCATTAAGTGCAGACTCGCTCTGTAGTTTCATACTTGTAGTTTTGTTCATTTAGTCCACAACAATACTTAGAAGATCTCTATGATCAGTAAAATACCTTCACACTCAATGGGTTTTTACCACACGTTTGCTTATAACACCAATGTTGTTCTTTCTGTCTTCTTCTTCTCTTGTAGGCCCTCAAGAAAGCCAGTAACATTATCTCAGAGATCCGCGAGACTCATCTTTGGTAGCCAAACGTTCTCATCGAACAGTCTGTCCAGGAAAGTGTTTACATGTTTGTTTGTGCTGTGTGTGTGCGATTGTGTATGTGACGAGCGTGTATGTAAATGTGAAGAAACACAATGCCTCCGCCAGCATGAACACTCAACAAACTCTGTACAGTTTTCCAGAAGCTCCTTATTTCTACTGCATATGCACTGATTCAATAACTCTGAGGTCAAACGAGTGTGTGTTTGTGTATGTTTGTAATCAGATATAGTGAACATATCAACACCATATTGTGTTATTCATCGTCATAAACCTTATATAATGACGAATAATCGATCATTTAGTGTTATAATAATTGAAAAATGTCCTGAATGGTACACTATAAAAGACATTAGTTGAATTTACTTCAAAAAGTGAGTAAACTCGTTGCAATAAAATCAATCATAAACTGTGTGCATAATTATAAGAAATAAAGTCAACTTGACAGCCATTTTGTGCCAGACCGCACACGACACACCAGGTGATTGGTGGAGAGGAGACAGAGTGATGAAGCCAATTATGATATGGGGAGGGTTAGGAGGCCATGATAGACAGAGGCCAGTGGGCAGATTTGGCCAGGATGCCGGGGTTAAAACTCCTACTCTTTTTCGAAGGACAACCCGGGATTTTTAACGACCACAGAGAGTCAGGACCTCAGTTTAACGTCTCATCTGAAAGACGGCGCTCACTGAGCAGTATAGAGTCCCCGTCACTATACTGGGGCATTAGGACACAAACAGACCGCAGGTTGAGCGCCCCCTGCTGGCCTCACTAACACCACTTCCGGGAGCAACCTAGCTTTTCCATGAGGACTCCCATCCAGGTGCTGACCAGGCGCAGCCCTGCTTAGCTTCAGTGGGCGACCATGTGTGATTTGCAGTGAGCTAGCTGCCGGCCAAATGACTCTCAAATGACTTATTGTTAATAGAAATGACAGTACAAAAAAGTATGTATATACATTTTTTTTGTACAGAAATCATTTACTCATCTACGGAACCCCGGAAGGGAGGAGGAGAAAAAAATTGGCTGGGTGAAAAAAAATGGGTGGGAGGAAAATATGGTTTTTGCGTTCTCTCGCAAAGTTTTGCGTTCCCTCGCAAAGATGTTTTGTGTTCCCTCGCAAAACTGTTTTTCCACAAACTCTTCCTGTTCACTTCACTCATGTAAACCCTCCCGTTTTTGCCGAAATTCTCCTGTATTTTACCATTCTATCCTACTTTCTTTACATTACTGTGCGCTGATTGTCGCCTTTCACTTTGCAACCTCTGAACCAGTGAATGCATGTATAAGCGCTGACTGACAGACGCACTCCGTACAATAAACTGATCCCAGATCAGCGCCTGTTTGCGCCATTTAAAGGGACATTTCTGTTATCAAACAAGTGAGCAGCAAATGAATCTCATGTTTTGTTTAGTTTGATAACAGAGGTGTCTCTGTAAGAATGCACAGATCTATAATGAAAGCAGTCCGTTACTTTAGAAACTGTTTGTGCTCATTTAAGAGAAAATAAGCTGTTTAAAATAAAACATGCAGGATGGAGATGTTTACATATTATTCAGTGTATTTGTCTGTTTAAACATGCACCCGCTCCTCTGTAAATGGCGCGTACAGACGCTGATCTGGGATCAGTTTATTGTATGGAGCGCGTCTGTCAGTCAGTCGCTGGTTCAGAGGTTGCAAAGTGAAAGGCGATAATCGACGCACAGTTATGTAAAGAAAGTGGGATAGAATGGTAAAAGACGGGAGAATTTCGGCAAAAACAGGACGGTTAACGTGAGTGAAGTGAACAGGAAGTGTTTGTGGAGAAACAGTTTTGCGAGAGAACGCAAAACATCTTTGCGAGGGAACGCAAAACATCTTTGCGAGAGAACGCAAAACATCTTTGCGAGAGAACGCTCTTTGCGAGGGACCGCAAAACATCTTTGCGAGGGAACGCAAAACATCTTTGCGAGGGAACGCAAAACATCTTTGCGAGGGAACGCAAAACATCTTTGCGAGAGAACGCAAAACTTTGCGAGAAAACGCAAAACATCTTTGCGAGGGAACACAAAACATCTTTGCGAGGGAACGCAAAACATCTTTGCGAGGGAACGCAAAACATCTTTGCGAGGGAACGCAAAACTTTGCGAGAAAACGCAAAACATCTTTGCGAGGGAACGCAAAACATCTTTGCGAGGGAACGCAAAACATCTTTGCGAGGGAACGCAAAACATCTTTGCGAGGGAACGCAAAACATTGCGAGAGAACGCAAAACATTTTTGCGAGGGAACGCAAAACATCTTTGCGATAGAACGCAAAACATCTTTGCGAGGGAACGCAAAACTTTGCGAGGGAACGCAAAACATCTTTGCGAGGGAACGCAAAACATCATTGCGAGAGAACGCAAAACATCTTTGCGAGGGAACGCAAAACATTATTGCGAGGGAACGCAAAACATTATTGCGAGAGAACGCAAAACATCTTTGCGAGGGAACGCAAAACTTTGCGAGAGAACGCAAAAACTATATTTCCTCCCACCCATTTTTTTCTTTCACCCATTTTTTTTTCACCCAGCCAATTTTTTTCTCCTCCACTACGTCCCTTCCGGGGTTCCGTAACTCATCATTCCAAACCTGTATAACATTGTTTTGACCAAATATATTCATGATGATTTTTACAAAAAAATTCCAAAACATTAAACACTTTCAAACTCCAAAAACAGACTGAAAAGCGTCATGGAGGCACCATCAATTATTAAATTATTTAATAGATTTGTATGAGGAGCAGACTGAAATTTAAGTCACTATACACTGAAAATAGATGATATTTTATAAATAATGACTTTTTGAGTGATCTGCCTGGGATAATAAGCTTTAAATATAATGTAAAGTATGTAGTATGCAAGTTTACGTCTTAAAAATAAAAATCCAACAAGCTGTTTAGTAGATTCAGTCAGATTGGTGCATGTCAGCACACATGTCATTCAGGCTAAAAACAAAAGCAGTGCTAATATATTTGATTAACTTTTAGATTTGGAATAATTAATAACTGATGTCTAGACATGGTGCAAATCAAGACTGGTGCAGTGTGAAGAGCCAGCAGAACAAAGAGCCATTGTGTTTGGTCGCGCTCCGAAACACTTCAAAACCACGCTTGGATGTGCCGGAGACTTGACTGCCATGTAATATTTATGCTTGTATGAATATTTATTGTGAGCGTGAGTTTGTCTGTGTCAAGGAAGGTCAAATGAGAAAGAACAAAGACATGAAAACATCCCTGTCTGAATGAAGCATCTCAGCATCAGGAATAAAAATACTATTTAGTGTTGATTATGAAACAAACAGGCGTAAATGTAGCCAGCGAGGCTGTAATGAGAGTTTGGTAGTTGCCAATTGTAACCTGTGGGTGTTTATGTTGTATTCAAAGTACACCTTTTATCATAATGTTACAAACTTTTTGAAGAAAAAGAAAAGTTTGGCACCTCTTCATAATCGTTTTTGGTCATAAAGTCACAAAATAATGCATGATATCAACAATGCAGTGTTTATTTCTCGCAATTTTTTAGTTTGTTTTGCAATTACACTTACAATTGTGAGTTTATAGGCATTTTTGCCATCATTTCTCATAAGTTTATTACTTAGACGTGCTCAGCAAGAGCTGAAACTCTTCTAACACTCACTGTATGTGGTCAACCAATCACAATCACAGACTAGGCCATTATCTGACCAATCAGAGCTGAGTAGACTCTCAAAGAGGCGGAGTTTAGAGAGGTGCCATACAATAAAGGGTTAGTTCACCCAAAAATGTACATTTACTCTCTATTTACTTATACTCAAGTGGTTGAACTTCTGTTGAACACAAAACAAGATATTTCTGAAGAATGTTGGGAGGAAAAAACTATTTGGTAGTTGATTTATTGGCATTATTAATATGTGAGGGTGTTTATGTTGCAGGAAAAGTACCTTTTCAATATATAATCAGACACGTTTTGGAAAAAAGCCCCTTTTTCATAGTCATTTTCCCACATTTTTTCATAAAGTCACTAAAAAGTGTGATATAAATTTCTCACTATTCTGAGTTTGTTCTGAAATTCAAAGGTTTTTATGTACAATTTTACTTTATTGTTCACAAATGTGTGATTATTATTATTATTTATACATTTTTTAGGCAATTCAGACATAATTTCTCGCAAGTTTATTTCTTTAAAGGACTGAGCAAGAGCTGAAACTGCAGATGCAGTAATGAACATCTGGCTTCTGACACTCACTGTAAGTGGTCGACCAATCATAATAACAGACTAGGCCATTATCTGACCAAACAGAGCAGAGGTGATGCTCAGGGGGCGGAGTTTAGAGAGGCCAGATCCTTAAACCAACCATTTCAGACATTGAGAGATCGAGTTCACATCTTACAATGAGAAAAGAGAGTTGCAAGATTAAAAACTTACAATTCTAATGGATTTCTTGCAAGTTTAAAATTTTTATCATACAGATATGACTTTATTTCTCTCAAAATCAGATGTCATAAATTTCATAGCATCTTTAGATGTTGGAGTCAAACCTATGAAAGCCGCAGTTCTGAGACAGGAGTAACAATATATATATATATATATATATATATATATATATATATATATATATATATATATATATATATATTTATTTATTTATTTATTTATATTTATTTTATTCTTAGACAGGAGTAACAAGGAGTCTGAGGAGATTTAGAATAAAATAAATATTAATAATATATGTATATATATATATATATATATATATATATATATATATTTTTTTTTTTTTTTTTTTTTTTTTTTTTTCATGAAAGAAAGTAACTGAAACAGTTTTGTAACAAGTAGAGGAAATGTTTTTTGGGGGGTGGACTATCCTTTTAACTATGCTTTATTTATTTACTTATTATTTATATTTATTTTATTCTTAGACAGGAGTAACAATATATATATATATAGAATTGTAAGTTTTTAATCTTGCAACTCTCTTTTCTCATTGTAAGATGTGAACTCGATCTCTCAATGTCTGAAATGGTTGGTTTAAGGATCTGGCCTCTCTAAACTCCGCCCCCTGAGCATCACCTCTGCTCTGTTTGGTCAGATAATGGCCTAGTCTGTGATTATGATTGGTCGACCACTTACAGCGAGTGTCAGAAACCAGATGCACTGTATCTGCAGTTTCAGCTCTTGCTCAGCCCTTCTCAGAATA